GTTGTATATGAAGTAGAGTCACACCATTTGTACAGTCATACATGTACCTTGGAAAATGATGTCCATCTCATTCCAGCATCTTTCCTACCCCCTTGTCCCCTCCCCGCTCCTCTTTGCCCCATCCAAAGTTCCTGCACTCATCCCATGCCCTTCCCCATTAAGGATTAGCATCCACTTATCCAAAAAAGCATTTGGCCCCTGTTTTTTTGGGATTGGTTTATTTCGCTTAGCATGATATTCTCCAACTTCATCCATTTACCTGCAAATGCCATAATTTTATTCTCTTTTAATGCTAAGTAATATTCCATTATGTATAAATGCCACATTTTTTTATCCATTCATCTATTGAAGGGCATCTAGGTTGGTTCCACAGTTTAGCTATTGTGAATTGTGCTGCTATAAATATTGATGTCACTGTAGTATGCTGATTTTAAGTCCTTTGGGTACAAACCTAGGAGTGGGATAGCTCAGTAAAAATGGTGGTTCCATTCCAAGTTTTCTAGGAATCTCCATACTACTTTCAGATTGGTTGCACCAATTTGCAGTCCCACCAGCAATGTGTGCCTTTTCTCCTATATCCTCACCAACATTTATTGTTGCTTGTATTCTTGATAACAACAGCATTATATTTAACTGGCAGATTTTAAAGCTTTAGAGTTACAGACTAAAAGCAATTTTAGAACAAATGAAGATTTGAATAAATCTTAACTCTTGTAGGACTTAATCAGTAGAAAACAAATTCTCTCTCTGTTTTTTTTCTTTCTTTTTTTTTTTTTTGGTAATGGAGATTGAACCCAGGGGCCCTTAACCACTAAGCCACATCCCCAGCCCTTTTTATATTTTATTTAGAGACAGGGTCTTGATGAGTTACTTAGGGCCTCACCGAGTTGCTGAGGCTGGCTTTGAACTTGCAGTCCTCCTGCCTCTTGAGCCACTGAGATTACAGGCGTGCATCACTGTGCCCCGCTTCCAAATTCTCTTGATAAGACAAACTGTTTTTTAAAAACATTTTTTAGTTGTGGACAGGCACAATATCTTTATTTTATTTATTTATTTTTATATGGTGCTGAGGATTGAACCCAGGGCCTCAAACATGCCAGGCAAGCGCTCTGCCACTAAGCCACTACTACAGTCCCCCCATTTAGCATTTTTTTAAGAACACAGTGAAGCACCTTGCTTATTACAGAACAATAAAACCTAGGCAGGGGCTGTGGTTGTGGCTCAGTGGTAGAGCGCTCACCTAGCACATGTGAGGTGCTGGGTTGGATCCTCAGCACCTCATAAAAATAAATAAAGTTATTGTGTCCAACTACAACCAAAAAAATGTTAAAAAAAAACCAGCCAGTTTGTGCAGAAAACATGAAACTATAAATGAAAATTACTGGAGTTGTTTTATAAGCAACATTGAATAGATAAAGTAGATAGTAAAAGAGAAGCAGGCAGGCAGGGCATTAAGCCCCATAACAGCTTCTCTAAACGTGTAGGCTAATCCATGAAATTAACCTGTAGGAACACTGCAAGCATTCCAGTTGACCCATTTGTCCCAGAGTAGTGTAAAAAGACAAGTGGGATGGACCAGAATGAAGGTTACAGACTCAAGGCCTAAAAGGGCACAACTAATTAAAGGGTCATAAGCTGAACCAATAGGCATGGCACCTTTCCAATACCTGACAAGTATAGCTGCTGACCAGTAGCCTTGGCATTTTTCTAATAACCCCTGGACTAGTACACTTAAGTGGCAACCTGCTTTCTAGTCCCCTCTTGCCCAGCAAGAGCTCTGTTTCTTTTCTTCTTACTTGAACAAACGCAACTCTTTCACTCTCTCTTGTCCCTGGGTTTCATTCTTCAAATTCTCAGGACAAGAACCTGGAAAGAAGTCACTAGTGGGTGGATAAGGTCTGCTGCAGCACTAAGTGGGCATTTGCCTGCTATGGAGATATACAACACAGGTCCCACTCGCTTCCAAAGAATCCAGTCCTGGTGACTGAGACCAGCTGCTAATGCTGGAGGGCATGCCCAGTTGTGAGGAGCTGCTGCTGCTGTGGAGGGCTGTAACTTCACCAGCAACTACAGAAGCAGAGGTGGAGAACCCAGTTTCAACATCATATCCTGTATATCATGTATTTTTTTTTTAACAAGGTAGTTGTGAAAATAAATTTAAAACAGACACACAAGTTTTTAACAAGTTTAGATTACTGAATGAATGTGTGAACAGACTAATAGTTAATTTCTGAAAGTACTTTTAGGAGTTATGAAATTAAAAACAAAATCTCCCTAATTTTAGCTCATTATAAAATGATATTTCAGAAGTAGAAACTGTATATAGCTTATTAGCATTTTAAATCATCTGTTATTTTCTTTGACTTATCTCTGGTTTGGAGCAAGGAAAGTATAGACTCACTGATGAATTTCTAATTTTTTTCTGTATTGAGGATTAAACCGAGAGACACTTCACCACTAAGCTACATTTGCCATCCCTTTTAACTTTTTTATTTTGATACAGGGTCTCACTTAGTTGCTTAGGGTCTTGTTAAGTTGCTGAGGCTGGCCTTGAATTTGAGATCCTCCTGCCTCAGACTACCTAGTCACTGGGATTATAGGTGTGTACCACCATGTCTGGCAGGTCACTTGTGAATTTTTAAATCTATTGAACAATTCATATTTTAAACAAACCTTGAATATCATATATAGATATAAACATCATACACTAATTAAAAGAAAATGGAGGGCTGGGGTTGTGGCTCAGTGGTAGAGTACTTGCCTAGCATGTGTGAGGCACTGGGTTTGATTCTCAGCACCTCATATAAGTAAAATAAAGGTTCATCAACAACTAAAAATTTTTTAAATAAAAAAAGTAGATGGAATATTTTTCAGGTATGAAAAGCCTAAGAGTTTTCATCTCTGGATTGAGGTTTCCTTGTAAAAACAAAATAATTTGAAATGTCACCTTTTAGAAAATTTAAATTTATTTATTTATTTTTTTGGTACTGGGGATGAGCCCAGTGTGCTTAACCACTGAGCCACATCTCATCCCTTTTATATTTATTTAGAGATAGGGTCTCCCTGAGTTGCATGGGGCCTTGCTAAGTTGCTGAGGTCAGCTTTGAATCCTTCTGCCTTAGCTTCCCCAGCCACTGGGATTACAGGTGTGTGCTACACTCCCAGCTTAATTTATTCATTTTAATAGTTAGCTTTACTTACAGAAATCAAGCATAGTTAACGTTTAAATTATTCTTTGCCAAAAATGTCCTCAAAGGTTGCTATATAGAGAAAACAATGGACATTATATCTCAGTATCTAGAGACCAATATATTAATTGGTTAGCAGGCCAGAAAAATTAGTTACTAGATTTTAAAGACATTTTTATTATGAACAAATTTAAATAATGTATTATAGATTTAAAGTCATGTGAATCAAAAGGCACTTGGACTAATTTTTTTATAAGTCAAGTTAGTACCATGTAAGCAGACTATATATAAGCTATATATATATAAACATAGGTGTATACAAGAAAAAAATTAAAACCTAGAATTAACGTTTGCTAGTTTTATAAGCCAGACATTCCATGCTAGTTTTATAAGCCAGAAATTTGCATTTCCAAAGTTGAAACTAGGAAGAAATTTGCATCTTAAAGAATGAGGTTAGCAAACTTGAATGGGGAATTTGTTTGCCAAAGATAGAAATATTTCAGAGAAAATTAAAAGCCCTAATCAGACAAAACAAAATATATATAATTTAGCCAGATGCAATGGTGCATGACTGTAATTCTAGTGACAAGGTTGAGGCAGGAGGATCACAAGTTCAAGGCCAGTTTGGGCAACTTAGTGATATACTGTCTCAAAGTAAAAGACAAAAAGGGATGAACTGTGGATGTAGCTCAGTGGTAGAACACCCTGAGTTTAACCTCCAGTATTCCCCCTCCAAAATATATAGGCAAATAGGTTTTATATTCAAATATATCTTTGAAGAAAAATGGAAGAAACTTCATTCCATCTTTAAAATCCCTGACAATTAGCAAAATTTTTAAAGGAGAGGAGGCAAGGGAATGAGTGACAAAAGGACTGGAATTATACATATGTAGATGCAGGTAGGCCTGAATGGGTAATCTTTCCATCTTTGGGCTTGTCAGTTTGGGGGGTAGTGGTCACAGTCCCTCCAACCTCCCCTCTTAGCATGAGGAATGTGTTCCCAGTTTGGGTGAGGAGTGGCATCCAAATTTTATCTATTGCAATAATTAGAGCTGAAGGTGTAGCTCAGTGGTATCGTGCCATGCATAGCATGCATGGGGCCTTGGGCTCAATCCCCAGTATCAATAAATTTAAAAACTATTTTATAATGGGTGGAAAGGGGGATGTTTTAATTCTGTTTGCATGCTTAATTTTTTGTTTCTGTCCTCAATTCATTTTGTTTACCATTGTGTCTCCTGTCCCACAGTGTCTATCCTAAGTGTGGCATTTAGAGAATAAATTTGTTGGGTGAGTAAATGAATGAATGCTCACAGGTAAACAATTCTAACAGAGAGGGGCTATAATGGAGTTTGAGCATAAGGAACTTTGTAGGACATGAGGATTAACTTTGAGCAGTTCATAGAACATTTCACTGAGTGAAGCTGTTTCCTTTCAGAATTTTCTCTTTTTTTAATATTTTATTTTATTAGTTTTAGGTGGACACAATATCTTTATTTTTATTTTTATATGGTGCTGAGAATCGATTCCAGTGCCTCATGCATGCCAGGCAAGCGCGTATTCAATTGAGCCACATCCCCAGCCCCAGTTCCAGAACTTTCTAAGTGTATTCAAAGCCATCAGAGGGCACTGCATCTGGGAACGAAATAAAGTGATGCTAGATAGCCACCAGATGGCGATATTGCAGAGAGATTTGAGCAGCAGAGGAAATGGCCAGCCCTATTCCAGCTAAGAGCCCATATTTACTTCTAAATGAGTTTTTGTGTCCTGTCCACAAAAGTTAAAGCTGTGATTTCTTTTCTTTTGTTTTGCTAGTTTTGAAACACTTCAATTCCTGCCCAAGGCTGCTCTGGGAGACATCTGGTGTTCTAGTTGGTCAGTCATTACCAGCCAGAGAAGAGAAATGATGCCGAGTATTTTTCCAGTCCTTCAGATGCTGGAATTCTAATTCCCACTCCACTGATCTGCTGTCTCCCATGTAATGCCCTTATGTGGATGGATTTAAAGAGGTGAGGAGAGAAGCAAACTTGTAAACACACATGCGCGTGCATGTGTGTGTGTGTGTATACTAATGATTGTACCCGGAGCGCTCTCTATCACTGAGTTACATTCCCCAACCCTTTTTATTATTTTATTTTGATACGGGGTCTTGCTAAATTACTGAGGCTGGCCTTGAACTTGAAATCTTCCTGCCTCGGCCTCCTGAGTTGTTGGGGTTTCAGGTATGTGCCACTGTACCCAGATAAAACTGTTATTTTTTGAGACATCAGGTACTATAGTCAGACATTTTATATAATTATTTAATTGCCATGAAACCCTGAGAGATTAATTTTATCTTTCATTTTATACCTCAGCCTGCTTCAGCAATTAATAACAGGCATTATCAGTCCTCTTTCAGTTATACCCTCATCTGACAACACATATTATTTTCAGACAGCTCCCAGACAATCTCATCATATTATTTCATTTTGAAGTACTTTTTTGCAGTGGCACACACCAGTAATCCCAGCAGCACAGTCTGAGGCAGGAGGGTCACAAGTTTGAAGCCAGTCTCATTAACTTAGTGAGGTCCTAAGAAACTTGGTGAGACCCTGTCTCAAATAAAAAAATAAAAAGGGCTAGAGATGTAGCTCAGTGATGAAGCATCTCTGGGTTCAATCCCCAGTACACAACAAACAAAAAAACCTCCCAAAACTCAATAGCTCTAAAAGATAAACACTCTTTAACACAAGGCAATAACATTATAACACTAAAAAACCCTACAGTAATTCCTTAACATCATCAAATATCTAGCCCTGTTAAATTTACCTGGTTTCTCATCTTTTAAAATTGCATGTATTTTATTCAAATCAGGATTCAGACAGGTTTATAAATTGCATTTATTTAATAGATGAGTTATGAGTCTTTTTATATAGAAGGAGACTGAAGAGAAGAGTATCTATTCAGAATTCAGATAAAATTCTCTTCTGAATTAAACCTAGTACTAGATGTTGGGGGTCACAAAGATTAGGAAGATATAGTCCCTAACGAACTCAGTTGTGCGCTCCTATTAATGTTCTGTGAGTATATTTATCACAGGACTTATCACTTATGATTAGTATGCATTTATGTGTCTATCATTCCGGGTGGTAAGTCCACTAAGAGGTAGGGATGATTTCATGTTCAACATTGCAGTTTTTATACTTAGCATAGATCTTGGCATACAACAGGGGATGGAGTAATTTTGTCTAACTGGGAATCAATAAAGAGTTTCCAGCCAGGCACAGTGGCACACACCTGTTATCTCAGTGGCTTGGGAGGCTGAGGAAGGAGGATCATGAATTCAAAGCCAGCCTCAGCAATAGCGAGGTACTCAGCCACTCAGTGAGACTCTAAGTAAAATACAAAATAGGGCTGGGGATGTGGCTCAGTGGTTCAGTGCCTCTAAGTTCAATCCTCAGTACTAAAAGAACAAACAAACAAACAAATAAAACCAAAAACAAAAAAACAGTTTCTAGCAGGGCAGTGACAATGTAAAGTTTTCACTAGTGGTAGATAAAAGGTTGTCAGTTGATTTCAAAGCATAATGACTGGAGACAGACTATTGCAGAGTCCGGGCTAGAAAGGATGAGAGTGAGTATGGAGAGAAGATGGATTGGAGAGTTACTGAGTATGTAAACGGTCAGGATTGAGTAATTTCTTACATGCAGAGAATGAAGAGTTTCAGGCTTGGGTGATGGTGGTGTCACCAACAAATTCAGAATGAAGAGGAAAAGCAGGTTTAAGATGCGGAAGAAAAGTTCAGTTTGGGACATGCTGAGGTTAAGGTGACTGTTCAGGAGATGTCATCTATAGAGATGTTTGCAACCATCTGGGTGTGGTGGTATACACCTGTAATTCTAGCGGTTTAGGAGGCTGAGGTAGGAGAATCCCAAGTTCAAAGCCAACCTCCGCAACTTAGTGAGTCCCTAAGCAACTCAGTGAGACCCTGTCTCAAAATAAAAATATAAAAAAGGTTATTTTAAGCCAAAACTCATGAGAGAGGTCAGGAGTAAAGAACTAGGAGTCATGAGCATATAGATAGAGCTTAAAATTGGATGCCATCACTCAGGGACGGGACATGCAGCAAAACAGGAAGTGGGTTTAGGATGGAACTCTGTGGAACCTTACAAGGAAATTGAAGAATGAGAAAGAAAAGGAATAGCAAGGGGAATTGGAAGAAGACCAAGAAAGTATGGTACCTCGGCAGCCAAAGGAGTTCAGGAGGTGGGCAATGGGAGTAGTTAACACTTGAGAGGCAGTTAGGGAGGTGATGGCAGAGAATAGTTGAGTATGGCTGGGGTGTGGGGCATTGTAGAAGAGTGGCAGGAGGTTAGTCCAGAAAGGTCAGTTAAGCCTTTATCCAAAAGGGCCTTGGCCACCAGGTGAAGGGGTTAAGGCTTCCTTTTGGTAAATGGGAGTCACTGAGGAGATTCAAGTAGGAGTGACCTCGTTAGATCGAGGTATTTTAGAAAAGTCAGGTTGAGGCAGCGTTTAGAGGAATGGGACTGGGGGCAGGCCTCATTAAGGCAAAGTAGGAATAGGTTGTGGAGGAAGGGAGAGTTTCCCAAAATCTTTAGTAGATAAAATTTGCAGCCTCCCCAACCCAAAAAATAGCTAATGCTCACTGAGCCATGTTCTAGGTAGTATTCTAAGTACATACATCGATTATCTTGCTAAATCCTTACAACCAACCTGTGAGATAGATGTCATTAATGTCATTTTATGCACAATGAAACAGGAACATAGAGATAAAGAAATTTGGTGAACAGAGCTAGTAAGTGGCAGAGCATAAATTCAAACTCAAGTGGCTTGACTTTTTATTTTTTATTTTTTTGGTACTGGGGATTGAACTCAGGGGCTCTCAATCACTGAGCCACATCTCCAGCCCTATTTTGTATTTTATTTAGAGGCAGGGTCTCACTGAATTGCTTAGCTCCTCACTTTTGCTGAGGCTGGCTTTGAACTTGCAATCCTCTTGCCTCAGCCTCTTGAGCCACTGGGATTACAGGCATGTGCTGCTGCACCCAGCTAAGTGGCTTGACTCTTAACCCATACTGTTTTTTTTTAAATAATTTTTTTAGTTATAGATGGACACAATATCTTTATTTATTTATTTTTATGTGGTGCTGAGGATCGGACCTAGGGCTTCCCACATGCTAGGCAAGTGCTCTACCACTGAGCTACAACCCCAGCCCTTAACCCTCACTCTTAACGTCCTTGTTGTGCCATGATTGGATGTGGGAAGTGTGGGGTTGTTAGTTCGGATTAGGTTGAGCTGTACGTTATCAGATAGCCAAAATAACGATGGGTTATGTATAATTGTAATGTACCAATAAAAATATGGAAATAAATATCTCAATGTAAAAGAAAATAAAAGAAAGAGTATAGGGGCTGGGGATGTGGCTCAAGCAGTAGTGCTCTTGCCTGGCATTTGTGTGGCCCGGGTTCGATCCTCAGCACCACATACAAACAAAGATGTTGTGTCTGCTGAAAACTAAAAAAAATAAATAAAGATTTAAAAAAAAAAAGATTACAGATCAGGGCTGAGAATATAGCTTAGTCAGTAGAGTGCTTGTTTTTTTTTTTAAAAAAAAAAGAAAGAGTATAGTATAATGCATTAAAAAACAACAACAACAACAACAGCAAAATAGCCACTGGCTAAACTGGATAGAAATTCATTTCTCTTTCAAAGGGTTTAGTGTCCAATCTTCAGGGTATAAGATACAACTCCAATGAGCACATTCATGTTCCAAGCAGCAAAATGCTATGTTGCAGGGGTAAGGAGAGAACAGATATTAGGTGAAAGCTAGCAGTCTTTGCTATAAGGGAGATTCCAAGACTCTGACATTTGCATAGAGGATTGCATGTAGGATGGTATCATCCCCAATTTAAGTGGAGAATACAGGGAACCTATTAGACCTTTATGTTTGTTTTCCTAGGGCCTTTGGCTTCACCTAGAAGCAAAAGCCTGTTTATTTGTATTATTTTGGTTTTTGGTGTACTGCCCCTTTCCTATCTAGCCATGCAGTTCTAGTGAGATCTTCCAATCAGTACTCTGTCTCTCTGGCAAACAATTTGATTGATTGAGGTATGGCCATGTGATCCAGGCCAGGACAATCAGAATACTTCATTTTAATTACTTTTTTTGACTTAATTGAGGAAAAAATTGTGACATGACTGGAAAATGTATGGCCAGAAACTGCTGATGGCCCCCTTTTTTTTAATTACTTTTTTTTTTTAGTTGTCGATGGACCTTTATTTAATTAATTAATTTATATGTGGTGCTGAGCTCAGAACCCAGTGCCTCACACATGCTAGGTGGGTGCTCTACCACTGAGCTATAACGCCAGCCCACAGCTGATGGCCCTTTTATGGTCAAAGGGAGAAAATCTGTCTAAAATAATGCCAAAGGCTGAATGTTTTTTTCTGATAAGTGGATGCTGTTCCATAATGGGGGCGGGGGAAGAATGGAGGACCTTTGGATTGGGAAGAGGGGAGTGAGGGGAGGGGAGGAGATATGAAGGTAGGAAAGATGGTGGAATGAGACGGACCTTATTACCCTATGTACATGCATGATTATAAGATTCGTGTTCAAGTTCCTAGTCTTACTTGTCTTTGATGCCCATATGCCCCTATGATTATGTGAGGCTTCTAATAGATTCCCTCTTTTGCCCAAGTTTAAGTAGCATTTCTGTTACTTGATATCATTGAAGTCTTGATAAAAACTGTTGTAAAAGGTAATTCTAAAATCAATGTAGATGTGTTTAGGATCCGTGTGTGTATTGGTGGGAGGTGAGATTATAGTAAATAGTAACCAGGAGCAGGGAGATAGTTTATGAGACTGTTTCAGTAATCCACCTGAAGGTAATAACAATCTGAGCTAAGGCACATCAGGGGGCCAGGCTTGCCATGACCCGTTTCTTATAAGCCTTGAGCCAGCTGCCCATATCTATGGGCTGGTCATCTTTATATGGTTGCAGTGTAACTA